TTTGTAGCGTATTTAGAGATTTAGACCTATTAGATTTAATAACTATATACTCTAAATATCTAGATTCATTTTTGTGTAATTGGATTCTCGGACCATCTCTTTAATGATATAATATTTGTCATATTTTGTTGGCGATATTTGTGATGAGAATTGAAGAGATGTATATTGATTATAGTGGGATATATAGGTATAAATATTGTTTGTATTATTGTTCGTATTTTGAGGAATGAGAGTGTGAAAAAAAGTAAAGTATCTCCAGTTCAAGCACTGGTATTTATATATGCAGGGTCGATCTGATTAGGCTTGGCTAAAAATTTGTACAAATTGAGTATGGCTTTCTTCCCATTCTTTTATAAGATCATCAAGCCATACAGTACTTAATCTACTCTTTAGTATACTGCGATGTAATAACTCTTCACCGATCAGTCTATCCCGATCTGTTAAAAATTTATGATATTTTCTAGGGTCTTCCTTCCTCTTTATTCCATCTTGATAACAGCGTATATCTCTTTCCAAGTCACCACGGAAGCATCCCATTATCCACCTTTTTTTCTCAGCCTCAGTAATAACAGAAAATTTTTCGGGATCCATTTTATGTTCGATGGCATATTGACGTAAGCCAGCCTCTGGCTGATAAATTTTATTTGAATTAGTCCTAGGAATTGGTGATTGAGTTGTGTTTGATATACTTACCTGGATTTCCGACAAACTCTGTATAGCAATTATAACTTTCTTTTGATCGATACGAAAAGGACAATTGAGATAATAGTGATCATTTTTGTCTAGACAGCTCCAATCACCCCATATACCTAAACGTGTATGTACCTCTTTACATATCGGGCATTTAGCTTCTGAATCAGTATATTTAAAAACATCCTGATGCCATGCATTCAAATTAGTATATGTCAAGAAAGGGAAGCGTTTATGTACTGTTTCAATGATCACATCTTTTTCTTCTGGAAATTTAGAGATCTTAATAATACAGTCTCATGAGATATAATTACTAGCATCTTCTTCGATTTGTTTAGATTCAGAGGGTTTGGAATCCATCCAAGGATCGAGATCAGTTTTTTTCTTATATATTTTATATAATTTGGAACGAAGTTTATCAGATATAGTGGTTGGCAAATCAATTAATTTGGAATACCAATCCAGATATTCGGGGGTTAGTACCTTATCAGACTTGGCTTGTATATTCATGTTGTCATTTATATAAGTTCAAAGCAATTTAATTTCTCGGATACGTACTAAAAAATATCTCTGTTCACTCGCCAGCTCGTGTCCAGATTTGTGTAGTTAACTACTTCCCCAACGATTCACTTCACTTCGTTTGTTCAGGTCGATTCAATGCCCGAAAACAGAAAAATTACATACATTATTATTGCCTTGCAATGAGGCTATGCCTCTATCTGATCTATTGACAACAAACATAGCGAGTTGACGGGATATATACACTTCACCGACAATGAGAGTAATGAATTGGCGGGATTTTATGCAGTTATTTGAATTTCGTGTTGCTCACATTTAATATAGTAAGTTTCATCTTTATATTCACCTTTTATGCCTTCCTCATCATCATGGTCTAACTTGCATAAAGGGCATAATGTCTCATCGGTAATTCTGTAATAATCAATATTTTCATCATTAAATTCATAAAATATATCGGGATATTGTTCCAATGTTTTCTTACGAAAATCTGTATGGTTATTCTTACGATTAATCTGTTTTTTAGATGGGGTCTTCTTGGGTTGAGATGCAGATGGTATACTTACCTTGACTTCTGGTTCAAATATAGGGGGTGCACTTACCTGAGGTGTCAGCGAGGTCTTCTTGGTCATGTCAGATCTGCCAATAAAATTAGTAGATTTTGTATTAGATACAGAATTGACAACGTGGTTTTGCTCAAGTGGGACTTTTGGTCTCACTTTTTCAGTTTCACTAAAACAATCCAGGATAATTTGAATTTGAGGCTTAGTAAACTTTGAAATAGAATCTGCACTGAATGTCTTGATATTCTTAATCTTGTCAACTCCTATCTTTTCGAGTAATTTATAAAGCTTTATAGATCTTTGGGTTCTTTTACGTAAAGTTTCCAATGTTATTCCGGAAAGGTGTTTTATTATATCTTGTAATAATCATTTTCTTGCTGTCTGTTCCGAAGTGTTTTCTTTTACCATAAGTTCTTGAACTCCCATTTCAAATCTTTTTCCATATGAGTAACGACATGAAATCTCTTTCTGTTTAGCTTGTATAGTATTTTTTCCTTCAATACTTACTTTTAGAAACAAATGAGCTAGCTCAACTTCTATTGTCGTATTGGTAGTAAGTATTAAGTTTCCATCAATAACTTCGATGACATCCTCATCTGTGAATCCTGAAGACACTTCTTGTATAAAATCTTGGGCGACTATATAATCATGCAAAACTTTTGTCTCTTCAGGTAGTGCTTGAACTTGTCCCACTTCGCAGTCGCTCAATTTAGCAGGGTTAGATATATGTTTTTGTACCGACACTGATTGGTTTTGCTCGAGTGGGACTTTTGGTCTCACTTTTTCACTACATGATTCTTCAAACGATATAGAGGATAAGTCTTGTTCTTGAAGTTTCTTTTCCTTTATACTCTGCCTTATCTCGTTACTAACCCTTTTCTTATTTTCTGAATCTAAAAATTCATCGATCTCCTTATCCTCCACTGATTTAGTTTCTGTGCAGATAGATGATGCAGAGTCTCGCTTCTGATATACACCAGAATTAAATGCACTATCTGATGAATTTCCTATCTGCACGGGAGTTACAGGTGTAATGTTAGTAGTTACAGAGTCTTTTGTTTCGCAGTGGGACAGAGTCTCTTTGACAGAGTGCTCTCCAATAGGTAAAGAAGTTACTTGTAATGAGTTAGAAACTCGAGACTTCGTTTCTTCTGAATAATCTAAGGATGAATCGGGAATTTGAAGCTTTACTTCATGTGTATTAGTAATGGTTTGAGTTCGCTTTTTAATTTCTAAGAAATCAGATTCCAATTTAGTTACTTTGACTTTAAGCTGAGTATTCTCTTCCATAGCATGTTCCAATTCTGCAATTCTAGTCTCAAGCTTATTTTTTTCCTTCGCGATCTGTTCCAATTCTGCGATTCTAGCCATAAGTCTGGCATTCTCTTGTTTTAATAAGCCGATTTCAAATTGGGTGGTTTCCATTATTTTATATAAGACACAGATAAATTCAAAAGCTCGTTTATTTAGTATTAGATAAAAACTGTCATGCGATATTAATAAAAGTCCCGATTAATTTCCATTCGGGATAGCACGATAAAAATTCCGCTTTCTCGACTTTCTCAGAAAATCTCGGTAAGAAAACAAAAATCTGAAAAAGTGAGACCAAAAGTCCCACCTGGGAAATTACACCAATCACTTTTGCCAAGAAAATTCTCGATCATATAGTAACATCAATACTACGTGTTAAATCCCAAAATACATATGCAGAAAGTAAACGCAATTATGTATGCGAAATTTTCAGAATTTATTAGCCAAAGGCTAGCTTACGCTAAGTGTAATATATACGACGATTAATTTCTCAGTGTGACTATATGAGGATGTACATAATCGTCATCCGAGATATACAAACCCGAAATTAATGTTAATCTTTGCTTTTTAGCTTTTACGCGTGATAATTGGTATTTCATTTGGGATCATCGCTCTGAGATATTCAAATCTGAGATGTGCAATTTTCTATCCGTTAATTATGTGTCTTGACACTAGCTTCGCTATACTCATAATTGAGATGCGATATAGGTGCGACGAAGATGCGACGTAGATACGACAGATTTTTTTCTTATATAATTCTATGAAAAACAACACATCGTAAGTGTATCTCCCACACAGTGAAATTTTTTGTGATGTGGACCGACGATCAATTACGCTTACTAATCGATCAGAGAAAAAATCAAAATACCCAATATCATGACATTCCCGGTAGTAGTAGGGTTGATTTCTGGAATAGTATTGCAAATACAATCAATGAACCAGCTATACGGGATACCAATGTAAAAATAGATTTCAAAATCTTGTTAGAGATTACAACGTAAGTGTTAAACTATTGTGACATCTGCTATGATAGTATATCTAATACACTTTTATAATTAGTCAATGTGTCAGTACATAGCTGGAAACAGAACTGGAAAGAGAAGTAGCAATATTTTGAAGAATTTCGTTCTTGTCTTTGGGAGAGACCTGGTAAGTTCGCCAAATATGATATTACATAACTCGTAGAATATGACAATAAGATGATCATGTGATACAGTTCATATTGGTAACACAAATCACGCATATAAGTTAGCCCTAGGTAATTCATTTTACGCGTCATATCTCATTATTGTTATGGGTAAAAAAGAACTTTCAGCGTGGATACGTTCCGGCGTCGTAGAAAAGAATCTTAAAGAAACTTTCGACTCCACTTTGGACGCGCTATATGATGCCTGTCCTTTGAGAAAGTCCCGCGAGTCTATATGTAAATCACTTCACGACCTTTTATATAGCGATAAGACCTTTCGTCAAAGTTCTCTAGCACACATCACGATGTTCGGCTGGCTTGAAGATAAAAAATTATCGTCATCCTCTTCTTCCTCGTCTCAAAAACAGTCAAAGCCTTTTGCGGTTTTTAAAAAAACGCGGTTTCATTCATCTGCTGTTGGTCAACATGCAACCGTCACCAATCATTGCAAAGATAATATAACCGCTCGCGATTCTTCTCCACCAATTGAACAATCATTTTCTTTTACCGAAAAGGAACAAGGGGCGATTGTAGAGCCTTTTATTAATCTTGCTGAGAGAGCAGTTTATGATTTCCTTGTCAATAACGAAGATATTATTCCTCTAGAAGTCGTTGAATCATTCGCGGATAAACAGCGTCCTCCCATTAGCAAAGACTTCCGCAACGCCGATCTATTATGCATGTTAAACTTTATCCTGGAAAACATTGTCATTTTCTCAAAAAAATCCGTGTTCCATGGTCAATATAAGGCCAACCCTGTCGAGTTACTAATTGACTTTAAAAAGAAGGTGAGAAATAAATTGGCTCATGGAATCATACTTAACGGAAAAGGTCGTTGGAACGACCATGCACTCCAGCACGTCTCTATATTAGCTTGTGAAGTTGCAATTTGCCTTGGTAAGTGATCATGAGAACACAACAATTTGATTTTACTTAAGAGTATAGGCTGATTTTTTTATTTATTTGGTGTTAGGTGGAAATTACGAAGAAGTATTCGCTAACAAGAAAGATGTTGATAACGAAATAATTAAACGATGGATTGATAAGGCCTCACAAAAAAGAAAATCGGAAGTGATACTTGATAATGAAGATAATGTCAACCCATCACAAAAAAGAAAATTTGATGATAAAGAGAATATTGATGCGTCACAAAAAAGAAGACTTGGCGATTCGGATCTTGGGAAAATAACAGAGTTCGTACTTGATATTTTCGAAAATTTAGAAGGCACCGAAAAGGATGATAGAAAAAAGATACTAAAATTAGTAATGGATGAAAATGAATACGTGACAAAGTTTTGGAAAACAATCAAGGCTGAAGAGAGAAAAATTCAAGTTCGTAAATTTATTCGATTTGCAAATGTGATGTTTGACATTGTAAGTATAGAATTCTTTTAATTTTTATGCATCATAAATTCATATAACAAGCTAATGGCTATCCATTTTATTTACAGAATTTGAAGGCGAAGAATAAATAAAGGGTATGTAACTGTATGTGTAATAATTTTGTGCAGTTGGCATCATGGCATGGAAAATAAGTTCTCGCACAATTGTTACGAAATCATACCCAAAGTTGGTGTGGGCGGTGCGTCTTACTCTGAGAGCGATTCATTTCGTTCAAGGGGTAGGTCTAAATCAGCGTTGGTTAAAGACGTGAATCATCCTGAAAAGTGTATCTTCATTGTTAGGTTACATTCGTAAGGGTGTAGTCTTTAATCGTTGCGCTGGACTCGTTGGCTTAACTGAGGATAAACGAAGCTACTTATTTTGTGTGTTTCCTGTCAACTGCTTAAAGTTTGTTATTGTTATTGTACGTCAACCATTGACAACCACTTGTGAATTTATTTAAAAAGGTACTTTGACACAAAAAACCTCGAAACGAATTCTTAACCAAGTGTACGTTTATCTGAAGGAGTTTCTTTCACATCTGGGTTTTATGTATAATAACAAACTAATAAATGAATCATTTTTATTGTAGAAATGGAACCCAGCAGGCATAATTAACGTGTTTTATTCCTCCCTGCCTCTACACTTCTACCTATTCGTTATTTTGGCCGACAAAAATATTTTTACTATGTAATTATCCAACTGTGACATTGATGTCACGATCTCGAAGTTTGGCACTTTTTTATATACAATAATGTAAAATGTGTCTATCAGAAAATAAAAGCTTTACTTTTTTAGAATAGTTGGAACTAGGCTAATCGAATTATGATTGGTGCATTTAATCGAAAAAAATTTTGCATTTACAGCCAATCAGACAAATACATACCTACCTGCCTGATTAACGATCATATACTTTCTGCTCCTACGCTTCTTTTTTCTTGAACAAGTATATATAACCTTAACGGCTCGTCGAATAGTGTTGCTTTTGATTTCCCAATTAGTAATACACCGCTTTTCATTCCTATATTAGTATGTCGCAAGAGAAAACACCTAAGAAATTGTCACGTAGTGCTCGCTACAATAAAAAACGTAGGCTTAATAAGGAACAAAAATCAACTTTACCAGCTGAGCGAAATGAGCATATACCAACCGCACCGTTGCCAATAAGCGAGATTCCCCCCGAAATAGGACTCGACACACCGTGCATTATTTTCGATCCAAACCGAGTATATATTGTTTCTCATTTACCTTATTAGTATTTAAAGTGGACTGTCACTCGTGTCTGGTTGTTTTTGTGTATTTGCTCTACAAATGATCGGTCAACCATTTTCAAGTTACATTGTATGGGTATACTTAGTATGTTGTGTGTTCGAAAGGGCACAATCGCCATTCCGGTGGCCCATAACTTTGGCTTGGTTTGTTCAATCCGCAAAAGCTGGCAACCGAGTACAGTTCCGTTTCCCAATAGAATATTGTGATTTGCATCTTATACTAGTTCGCGTTAAAATTGTTTTTTATCATTAATTATATTAGCACCGGACCCAGCATTGCAAGCCGGGGATTATGTACACGTGATAAAATTCAATATATTGAAAAAGAATGAAGGAGTGTTCCACTTTGTTTATTAGATCGCATAGCATCGGGGGTTATCAAAATTCGTGAAGAAATTTCAACTAAAGATCTGTTAATCGAAACGTTAATTCGAGAGGCTGGGTTATCGAATAATATTCAGCTATTGGACGTACCACCAAATTTTCTCAAGTTAGTAAATAAAATAACTAGAATGGGGAAAGATAATGCCGGGTCTTTATCTCATAATGGTGAAGAAAAAAATAAACGTTTGTGGATCGCTTTCGGTCGCTGGTTGGGGATGGAGAAACCTGTTATAAGAAGGGATGTACATCGCCATCTTCGATCAAAATGGATAATGCTCCAACCGATAGATTTTCAAAATAATAAACGCCAGGACGCCTCGATTAAAGCCACCGCACACATTTCTCGAATTGAGAAGGCCAGATTAATAATATCCGCACGGGGGGATCTTTATTCGCTTAAGAAAAACATTCAGTTTCGCAATATTCTAGAATCGGAATGCATCACGGATGCTGAAGGCAGAACTTTAATCTACCTAGGGGTACTTAATAACCCAAACACCGTAACGCAAGCAACAGACGCCGTAAACAGATACTATTTCCATACATTAAACAACCCCTCCCATCGAAGTGACGAATTCTGGAAAAATTTTATTGAACATTTTGGCACATATACTTTGTATAATCCCCTCCTTTATACCAGCTCCAATACGGCGAGTGTGCATAATACCAATCATCAAGAATGCGTCAACGATTTGATCCATAATCTCGAGCCGTTATCGAATTGCATTAATGAATTTCTTAAGATATATTACCAGAATTTGTATGAGAAATTAAGCAAGCTGGAATGTGGTGTATTTGCACCTAGAATATTCAGGGTCTTCCCTATGATTGCGATTAATTTTAATACTATAAGCGATTTTCACTGGGATGAGCATGACGAACCGAATTCTTTGTGTTGCTTGGTCGCTCTTGGTGATTTCGAGGGGGGTGAACTTTGCTTTCCACAACTCCAGATTATCGTTCCGCTTCGTCCAG